TCTTCATCAGCAACTGGGGTCTTTGGCTTCTGGTTGAAAATCAAAGCAATCATGTACTGTGGAGCGTTCTCTTTTCATATATGGAATCCTGTGATTTCCCACGTGGATGCTCTGGTGACATCAGCAAGAGCGTGAAATAGTAGGAACTGCTATATGGGCAGAGCTGCAGCCCCTGAAGCTCAGTGACAATCCTTTGGATCTCTCCGTTGAGCATCCCAATTAAGATTCACTCACAAAATTCATTGTCATGGAAAACATCTAAATGGCAAAATACCTGAGAAGTAGGTTAGTATTTTCACTCCTGACCTTAGGGTTATATTTGTGAGGTAAGGTCCTGGTTAGGCTAGGTTAAAAATTATATGTATTACTTGAGAAGAATTTACCATAAAATTACCTTAATGGCGAAATTAACATTCTCCGTCTGTTAAGAAAAAAATATGTAAGACTACTTTGAAAAACATTTTGCTTTTAGAGAAATACACATTTCAAGGATATGTTATTTTACAATCGCCCTAAGAGCTGGGTAGCTGAGGACAGGGGTGAGAGGAATTCTTTTCACCTTATAGTCTTATGTACTTTCTGAATTTTGGGCCGTATAAATGTGTTATGTCTTCAAAAATATAAGTAAAGTTTTATAAAGAAAAAAACTAACTTGACGTATTTGCTATTAGGAAATAAATTTAAAATGTCCTCGATAATAAAAGATGGTAAAGAGGATTGGGACCAAGAGGAAGTTAGTCACCTAGTTAGTTAATATACCATTCTTTGTAGCTTCCAAACTATTTGTTAATTCAAACTGATAGTTGTCTTATTGTTGTTTAAAGCTGAGGTTGGGAGAGTGGTAATCTATCCTCTAAAAAAGAGGGTCTTTCTTCTCTAGCAAGACCTTTCTTCTCCACTGCTCAAATCCCATTAACGCCAATCAGCGCAATGATTAAGCACTTTGTGGTTAAGTACTCCAGCTGATAACGACTCCTTCTGAAGAAAGGTTCTCACAGCACAGGTAAAGGCTATCATCAAACTCAGCTTTTCAGCAGCACAAGACTTGGTGTCACAGATCTAGAGTTAAGATTGTTTTAGTATTAATCTGGAGGCTTTTTAAAAAACTTCACTCGACTTCATCCATTCAAAAGACATTTAGGAGAGTCTCACTATGAGCCAGGTACAGCATCAAACACTGGGAGCAGGTGAGGAGAAACAAGATCTCAAAGATAAGACATGGTTCCTGCCCCCAAGAATCTCAGCCAGCTGAGGAAAGCACCCACTGAAAGAAATAATGACATTATGATGGTAATTCTGCCCCTAAATCTGTAACCAAGCTTTGCCCTCACCACTAGGACTGGTCAGTTTCTAATCTAGTTTCACTTTCCCATCTTCAAGCTGCAGCACAGCTGGGTTTCCAGCTGGCTGGGGAAGAAAAGAATCTTTAAATAAACAGCATTTTTAAAATATGCAGTCGCTTTTGCTATACTGAATTTTGTGAACACCTTTCTCTGCTGTGTGAATCTAGGTGTCACATTAATTAAAAATGATCCTAACAAATGTAAAGTCCCCCAGGAATATATCTTTTTCTGTCTTTATTTATTATTATTATTTTTTTAACACCTACAGCACCTGGTATTCCTAGGTGGTCTCCCATCCAAGTACTAACCAGGCCCGACCCTGCTTAGCTTCTGATATCAGACAAGATCGGGTGCATTCAGGTAGTATGGCTGTAGACCATCTTCTCTGTCTTTAAAAACAAAATACACTATACTTTGGAAAAAAACTTTGAATCAGAAAGTCCCCCCAAAAAATGAATGAATGATCTTTCTTTTTGAAAATGCTATCTACTGTGTCTATTCAATAAGATAACAGCTTAAAACCATATATATATACACATATATACATATATATTCATATATACATATATACCTATATTCATATATACATATATACATATATATATGTGTGTGTATATGAAAGCAACAAAATAGGGTGTGGTTATACCAAAATATATGCAACCATTGTCAAAAATGTAGGACTATTGGCAGAAGAGGATGCTTTTATACCATTGTACAGAGTTGCTAATCTCTGAGAATACTTTTTATTTTTCCTCTCTACAAAAGGCACAGAAAACCCCTCCATGTATGCAATCTTCTTAGAAATGCAAAGATTTTACTCAACTCTTTATCACCAGAGGTGGTCATTTTGGATGAATGAAGCACATGAGTTCTATAAAAATGCCCCTCTGGCAGGCAGCGCTATTCTAGAACTTCACAGGCTTCCAGTCAACATTTCACAGCTGCAGTGAAATTAGCCATTTATGAGGACCTTTTAGAAGGGGTCCAGTATGACCCTTTTGCGTTGATGCTACTGAGGGATGTGCCAACTTTTAAGTACAATATATCCCTCTATATGGTAAGTTGTCTCAAAGTCCTGGCCCACCAAACACGACTTTCTAGATCATCTCCTAAGAACCACACCTTTGAGAACCCAGACACACTCAAAGCTGAAACTGGCTAAACAAAGTAACAATTCAGCCACAGTTGCTCAATATAACTGCCATGATGACAGTTTCCAAGTGCCAGTTTCCCTATTTTGCAACGGGCAAATCTGCTCCAAGGAGAAACGATTCCCAATGATCCTGTAGCCCAGAGGGCTTTCTTTGGAGATAGAAAACAGAAAATGAGTTTGTTAGTTATTTCCTGCCGAACACAAGGAAGGTGTTGTGGTTAGTTAGGATGATTTTGTTTCCTTATTTAATATACCATTACCAGTGCATGTTTTTCTTTAACCACATAGTAGAAAACGAGAAAATGCAGTTTATGCTCTTCTGTCATATTATCACCAGTTCTACAAGTTTCTCCTTGCAAACATGTCTTTTAATTTCTATTCCTCTTACATAAACCGCTAAATTGACATGTATCTATGTACTATCAATTCAAAGCAAATATTTTTATGTTCTAAAATGTTTACTTCCATACTAGTGCTGCTCCTTGATAATTTGTGATGTGTGAGGGCCTTCTCTTTAGTAGTGATTGCAGTCCTAAATTGATCTTTTTGAGAGCTATACTACACATGCTATTTTAATCATATGAGGTGACCATAACCTAAAAGCAGATCATATTTCTGACCCCAAAATTTTTCATGATCTCCACATTCAACAATTAAACTCTTAAATGCTCACTAAGGCAAACAAGGTGTAATTGATGGGAAGGGAGGAGCTGGGAGCAGAGGAGCCAATTACTCTATGGGGTTATCTGACAATGACCATTCGGTCTCAGTAGACAGACTAGGGATTATGTGGCAATGTGCTCTGTGCATATTCAGGAGCAACTCACCAAAATCCAAAACAGAAGCCGTCCTTGGACAAGGTTCAATAAATGTTTTTACTATCTATTTCCTACTGCACAATGCAGTTCCACAGCTCCCCAAGGGATCTCAGATAAAATACTTAGCAGAATAAAAAATTAGAAATTCTTAACTGGTCTCAACTTGTCATCATAAAACATTTCAGAGCATAAAACCAACACTGAAGAACAGTCAACAATATTCCTCAGAACAATGTCAGAGAGGGAAACTGCTGTTATTACCAAACGTTTCTCACTTCTTAAGACACTGCAAGATTCTTTTGATTAAAGTGAGCGCAATCGAACATAATGCCTAGATACACTCCCACCACTAAGCTAAAATTTGTCTCTTGAAGGACAGGGTGGTAGTAGGGAGGGGGGAGTAGGGAAGCTTCCAAAAGTCAAAAGCATTGATTTAGAAAGACGAAGGCAGCAAAACTTCCTGAGCTGTTCTACATTCTTTGCTACTCAATGCCTCCTTGCACTACCCAGAATACCAAGTTCTATGACAGCCCAGGACATCTATTACAATTCAGTGACTACACAGCTCAGAGTCACAGCACAAGCGCCAAATACAGCCTTAGTTGGGACAAAATGAAACACCAGTATGAATAAGCACAAGACAAGCTTAACAAATACTCCAATCTGAGGACAATTTGGCTTGAAATGCCTGCCATAGAAGTAACTACTGGATTCGGGGACAAGAAGAAAAAGCTCTTAAACTGACATTTCTTTGACTTTTGACAAGAGAGACCTCCATTCCCAGCTGCATAGATCTACAGATTTTGGTGTTTTGTTTCTCATCACCTGCATTCCTGTGCAGCACCCAACATCATGAAGATAAGAGATGCAGTCAACACATCCTTCCAGTAAGATGTCAGAGCTGAACTTACAGCAGTCAGCAGAAGTTACTCTATTTCATCGTCATCACCATCAACAGACCGAGTAAGATCTTCCAGAAACGGCCCAGAGAGGTGTCTGCTCACTAGTCCCGGAGGTTAAGAGAGACTGTACTACCCACTAAGCAGGCATTCACGATTAAGAAAATCACGATGGAGAAAAAAAACCTGAGCCACATGGAGGACGGAAAACAGTAGCAGAAAAAGTCCAACTCTGCCTGCGCCAGCGGTGTGGATGAGCAGAGCCGGGAGCCCAGGAGAGGAAGGAGGGGGCGGGGGCCATCATTCCCTAGGAGAACTTGTAAGCGGAGGCCTTCATATCCTAGTAGTCTGCTCAGCTGCTCCTGCAGACCCTGCCAGCCTGGGCAAGGCAGGCCCGTGGGAGCAGAGCGGGCAAGGCCTCCGAGGGTCACTCCTGACTCACCGAGCCTCTGGCCAGCACCACCCCGACCTCGCTGTTTTTCCTGCCGCTACTGGGCTATGATGGCAGCTTTCCAGCCCCACATGCCATATATCAGCCGCAGATCCCTGCCGGCACAGGCCAGAGCCTCCCCCTGCCTCCCACCCCTGGCACACTTTGAGCCTGATCCTCCTTCCCAACCTCAACCCCCTCACCCACCCGTGCCAGGCGCCCTGCCCAGGGGCGGCTCCACCCCCAGCGGCCCGGCGCTGCCAGGCCTGGGCACCTGCAGCACCTCCCCTCCCCGCCCCCATTCTCCACTAGCCCGCCCCTCCCCCCTTTCCCCAGCAGAGGGAGGGGGCGACTCACCGCAGTCAGTGCACAGGATCTTGCCCACCTCTTTCTTGAGGTTTTTGCCGTTGGTGTCGAGGGGGGCAAAGGCCGTCTTAAAGACTAAGGGCTGCTCCGTGGGCTCCAGGAAAAAGATGTAGCGCTGGTTCCTTTCGAGCGGCGCACAGGAGCCCACGCTGATCACCTGCTCGCGCTGCAGCCCCCCGCTCCGGAGCGGCCACTTGTCCAGCACCTTCACCAGCGCCACCCGACCGGAGGCGGGCGGCTCGCGGGTGCTGTTGGCGCTGGAGCCGCCGGCTGGAGCCAGTCCCTGTACCTTACCCTCCACCACCACGGGTGCCTTGTAAGCCTGGTCCTGCACCGACTTGAGGCTAGGCGAGTAGCAGGCAAGCGACACACCGAAGAGCAGCATGGAGAAGCCGGGGGCCGGGTCGCGCCTCATGCCGCCGGCAGCTGCGGCTCGAGAGCGGGCGGCGGCTCTCGGGGCTGCGGGGCTGCGGGGCTGCGGTTGTTGCGGCGGCCGCAGCTCTGGGGGCGCAGCGGGACGAGAGATGCTGCTGTAGCTGCTGCTGCTGCTCCTGCTGCTGCTGCTGCTGCTCTCGCTGCCGCTGCTGCTGCTGCTGCTTCTCTCGCTGCTGCTGCTGCTGCTGCTGCTGCTGCCGCTGCTGCTGCTGCTGCTGCTGTCGCTGTTGCTGCTGCACCGAGCCTTCTCCACTGGCGGCGGCGGCAGCGCTGAGCAGCAAACCTGCCGCATCTGGCCAGGCCATTTGGGGGGCTCCGCCGCTCCGCCGCCGCCGCCTTGGGAGGGGAAACAGAGCCTGCTGGAAAACCGGAAACAGCGTAACGTTAGCGCCTCGTAGCCCTCCACCGGCGGCCCGGGGAGGTGGCCCAGCTAGGGCAGGGGGCAGGAGGCAAGTGGGCCGCGATGCGCAGCGCGGAGCCGCGCAGCGCTCGCACCCTGCGCGCCAGGACCTGGAGGAGGATGCGGAGGATGGGACGCCCGCCCACTTGCTCTCTCGCGCCCCCTCTACCTCCGGACCGAGTGAGGAGCGCGGCTTCTGCAGGAGAAGCTTGGGACTGCACTGCTTTAGGGCCCAGCTTCAGGGCCCGCAGGGGCACGAGAAGGGCCGTCCTACCCTTTGCTCTGGTGTTTTATCCGCATGACAGTGGGGTAGTGCGTGACGAGGAGGCGGAGTAGAGATAACGGATTCTTGCACCGTCTTGTGAACACAGGAGTGGGACAAGGGCGTGCCCCTACCTTTGGCCACCACTGGCAGCAGCCAGAGAGATTGCCGCTGTTGGAGGTGGAGGGGAGGGGGGCGGTTGGGTGTCCAGCCTCCGCCTCCTGGGTTGTCCCTTTCCCTGCGAGGACCCTAGAAGCTGACCCTTAATCGAGCCCACGTGCTCGGCCCTGACACTGCCAGGTGAGCGCTGGAGATTCGAGCTGAGTGGGGAAGGATCCCAGTCCTGTCAATATGGGAAGAGTTGGGGCTACGTGGGGTCTTGTCTCGGCATTAAGGACACCTACCCAGGGGTAGTGGTTGAGAGAGGGTCTAGTCCCAAGACTCTGGGCTCTTCCCAACCGCCAGGCGGGACCAGGTTGCAATCTCAATTTTTAAAAAGTCGCTCCCAAAGGAGGTGGGGGCTTCTTGGGAGTTAACCTGAGAGCAGAGCCTGTCAGGCCAGAAGCTTCTCCACAGGAAATGGTTTCTTTTGAAAAGTCTGGTGCTTACAAGAGGCAGGAGAGTTTGCTATATCGGAGCCAGCATCTGATTTTAAAAAGCAATTCACGACCCATTCCTCTCATATTAATAAGGATCCAGAGAGTTTTCAATACCCAGCTTATATGCTTGAAGGATGTGGATGGAGAATTTTATCCCTGACTGGGCCTGGCAGGAAACTGGCCCAAGGATGTTTGAGTTAGGCTAAGACTGCTATTCTGAAAAGGAAAGAAGGAGCTAGACCTTTCCTCCTGGCTGTCTAAGAGACACCTTAAATTTAACATACCCAAAGCCAGCAGCATTATTTCTCCCACCCCATTCCAAATTCCCTGTAATTATTAATGCACCATTTTATACTTGGCCCCCAATTCATTCCCATAAATCCCTTAGTCTCATCTTATTCTCCCTCATCTAATTAATCACCAAGTCCTTTGGCTTTACATTGAAAAACAACTCCGATTTATCTAGCACCTTTCCAACTCCGCGGTGAATACTGTAAGTCCAAGTACTCATCATCTCTCACCTAGGCCAAAGCCTCCCAGCTGGTCTCCACACCTGCCCCATCACCCTCCTCCAGTCCTACCAACTGCCAGAGTCATCTTTCTCAAAACAAACTGTAAACATGGTTTGCCCCTGCCACTGCTCTAAGGAGTAAGGTCCAAGCTCTTCAGCATGACTCTTCGTGGATTCCCATACTCTGGGCTCCAACCACCTACCCTAGCAATCCTTGGCAAGTTGTCCTGTTTCTTGGTGTGCTTCTGCACATAATGTCTCTTATATCCAGGAAGCCTCACCTCTACATTGTCCACCTAGAAAACAATTCTTTCTCCAAGGCTCAGCTCAGCATTATACCTCATTCCTCTCTTGCATTCCCACCACCATACACATACACGATGGAATTAATCTCTTTCTCTTCTGTATTACCGTGTGTCTCAGACACATTGCTGCACTGACCTATACTGTACTCCAAGCAGCTGTTAATGGGGCTGCATTTGACCCATTAGACCAGGCACCTTAATGGTGGGGACTATGTCCTGTTAGTCTTTGGATCTCTATTTGATAGGAGATCCAACACAGTGCCTGGCATAGAATAAGGATCAGCAAATCTTCAGTGAACAGAAAATCAACTCACTTAAAGGCGCAGCCCATCTTGTTGACCCCTTCATTGTCCCCATTTTCATTTCATAGATCACAGATCTCATACATCACAGAACATCACTATAAAGAAGATAACTAACTCCACCCTCTCATTTTTCAGTGGAAGAAACAGTCTCAGTGAGAAAAGGGAACTTTTTCTCAAGATCACACACAGCCAGGACTGTATTCAGTCTTCTGTTTCTGAGGCCAAAGTAGTGAGGGAAGAGCTTGTGCTTTGGGGTCAAGCAGAGCGGGGTTTCAAACCAATTTTATAACTTATTAACTTTGGAATGAGTCTATTCCACCCTCTAGGCCTCAGTTTCCTCATTTGTATAATGGAGGTAATAAGAGGGTCTACCTCATAAAGTTTTTTGCTCAATATGTTTGTATTCAGTAAACATCCAATTGAATGGATCCTCTGTGCCAAGCACAGAGGCACAGTACTGGTAACTAGGTAGACTGCAGTGAGCCAAATTCACCCTGTCTCTGCTCTCAAAGCTCATACTCTAGCTGGGAAGACAACAGTAAACAGGTAGATGAATAGGTAACTAAATTACTTAGAGTGCTACATGTCTTGAAGGAAATAAACAGGATGAAATGATAAGAAATAATGGAAAGGGGAGAGGGTAGGTCTACTTGGATAAGGGAGGACTTCTTTGAGGAGATAACATTTACACTGAGACTAGTAGGGTCTGAGGGATGTAGACTTTGTGAGATAAGTGTAATGTGCTTAGAACAATACCTGGTGCAGAATTAGGGCCAAAATTAATGTTGATATTTTACTTATATCAGTGGTTCCCAATCTAAGAGCTGAGAATCTCTAAGTGGTATATAGTTACTGTGGACTAAGACTTTCTGTATATTAAAAAAATATGATGCAACTTTTCAGTAGTAGATGCCACTGTGATGAATAAAAATACATATTTTTTCACATATCTATTTTAAGTACAACAAGACACTTTAATATGAAGAAGACTGAATCAGAGTGAAGAAGAATGGCAATATATGCTACAATTTTGTCTTTTTTTAAAGGATAAATACATAAATATTTATAGAACATAGATTACCTTTGAAATGACAAGCAGAAATTAAAACAATAGTTGGCTCTGGGAAGGGCACTGGATAACTGAAGAGTGGGGTGCAAAAAGATACTTTTCATGGCATTCCCTTTTGTACCTCATGAATTTTGATCAAGTTCAGATACTATCTATTCAAAAAATATTTAAGAGGGGATCCTCTACATTTTTACTGTTGCTGAAATGTTATTATGTATTTTCCTCAATCAAAAGCTACTTAAAATAGAACTATTATTTATATAGGATTCTTTGAAATTTTCTTAGCTTAAAATGAGATTCTCATACTAAAAAGGGTTGGGAATTTTTTCACTATAATTTTATCCTCTTTAGACTGCAAAGGTAAGTTTTGAAATCCTAATTCTATAAGGATTTCTATGGCCATAGAAGGCGGGGACTTAGGCAAAGACTTCTAAAGGAAAGAAAGGTACCTGCCCAGTTTTCCACAAGGTAAGATATGTGTGAGGACAAGCTTCCAGAATTAGCCTCAGCCATTTAGTATAGAAGAGGGGGATATTTGGTTTCCTATGACAGCCTAATTCCTGGGGATGAAAGTGAGTTAGTATGCATATCTAAGAAAATAAAGCTTGATATTCTGAACCTGTTAACTCCTCATCATAATTCAATAATTAATAATAAAAATAATAGCCACCATATATTAATGGCCCATTGTGTGTCAAGAGTTTCATGTCTATATTTCTATTCCTCAACAACTTTGCATTTTACAAATTGAAGAGACTTATAGAGATTTAATAATGCCCAAATGACAGGCAGACTCGGGGGTTCCCATTTAGGCTTGCCCATTGCCAAAGCATGTGCTTTGTGCACACCATCACCACATCTCTGAGTGAGAAGCATCTCTTGGCCTCATTTTCATTGTCATCTGAGAGGTCTGTAACCTCTCCAAATTACTTCCACCAATGTCAGATTATTTGAAATTTATAACACTGGGGACCAAGTGGTATAAGCATAATTTTACAAAAAGATGAGAAAAATTGAGACATGAAAGAATTTAAGTGACTTTTCCAAGATCACAAAACTATTGATGGGGCCATGATTTATCACAAACTCAAGCTCAACTTTTAGGGTCCCCCCTCATTTATTTGAAGTTTTCTAGCCTTATTAAGATATAATTGACAAAAGTGCAATATATTTATAGTATACAAGGTGATAATTTGAGATTCATTATGAAAGGATTCCTACACTTGAGTTAATACATCCATCACCTCATATATTTATCTTTTTGTGTGTGTGTGAAAACACTTAAGTTCTACTCTCTTAGCAAATTTCAGTTATACAATACATTGCTATTGACTATAGTCACTATGTTATACATTAGATCCTAAGAGATTATTCATTTTATAACTGAAAGTTTGTACACTTTAAGCAACCTCTCTCCTTTCCCCCTCTCCCCAGCCCCTGACTACCACCATTCTATTCTGTTCCATTCTATGAGTCTGACTTTTTTTTTTTTAGTTTCCACATATAAATGATACCATGTAGTATTTGTCTCTCTCTGTCTGGCTTATATCACTTAGAATAATGTCCTCCAGGTGCATCCATGTTGTTGCAAATGGCAGGATTTTCTTCTTTTTAAAGGCTGAGTAATATTCCATTATATATATCACATCCATTATTATCTATTCATCCATTGATGGACACTTTTTTCCATACCTTGGCTATTGTGAATAATGCTTCAAAGAACATGGAGAACAGGTATCTCTTCAAGATAATGATTTCATTTTCTTTGGATCAAGCTCACACTTTTGAATAGAACCACAGAGAAATGGAAGCCAGACCTGTTCACTACCCACCATGGCTCC